CATGCGCAGGCCTTCCGCCTGCGAAAGCCCAGTAGGCCGGCCGAAGCGAGCGGCGATGGGAGGTGGGAGGGAGCTCGCTCGCCGCCCCACGTGTGCTCGCCGCCGCCGCCCCGCCTCTCGCCGCCCGACTCGCCCGCCTCCCTCCCACGGCACACCAGGCAACGTCCCGCGGCACACTAGTGTGCCGCGGAACACTGGTTGGGAAACACTGATCTAGTCTACTGTGGCCTGCACATGGCCTTCTCAACCACTAGAGGGTCAGGGCCAGCAGAGCCAGACTAGAGTCTGGTGGTGCAGTTCCCAAGAAATTCCACCAGAGGGCTGGAGCCTGTCACTGATTGGCTACAGAGTCAACTAGACACCGAGGGGGGGAGGAGCAGCACCTTTGGAGGGAAAAGAAAAGGAGCCATTTCTGAGGGAGAGAGTTAGATAGGGCTGGATTAGAGAAGACGGACAGGATTTGATTGGAGATGTTAGAGTGGGTTCAGGTGGAGGGATAGGGGTCAGGATAGGATTTGATGGAGAACTGGTTCATATTTGAGTTAAATATCCACAGTGAGGATGTTAGCAAGAGGACAGAGCCTCACAGCTTTACATATCGGGAGAAAGTGTTGAGGGTCTGGGAAATGTATACAGACAGGAATGTTCTGGAAGGGCTGAGACTGAGCTAGGAGAGGGAGAAGCTGTGGGAATACAGACTCCATGGGTCTTGAATTCTTCTAGGTAAAGAAGACTCCTAAACCAGCCACAAGGGGTGAGCGAATCCCCTGGGTCTATTATTCCATTTGGAATACCTGAGGAATGAGATGACTAAGAGAGTATGTAACTGAAGAAAAGTGCCCCTCACTCACGGACCAAAGTATTAATCTGCAAAGGAAGCTGTGCTGTATTAAATGTATTTAACTGAACCACCTGTCATAACTAAGTAGCAGAAACTGAACCCAGCATTTTACCACCTCTTCTAGAACCTAAACATCTAACTGAAGTGTACCAACTGATTTTTAGCAACCAAAGTTTAAGAAGAGCTGTGCCTAGAGCATTATGTTTAAGCCTGTGGCATCTTTATAAAAGTTAACTTTTATAAAAGGTCCAGCGCCGAGGCATTCTGGTGGTTCCCTCACTGCGAGAAGCCAAGTTACAGAGAACCAGGCAGAGGGCCTTCTCGGTAGTGGCACCCGCCTTGTGGAACGCCCTCCCATCAGATGTCAAAGAGATAAACAACTACCTGACATTTAGAAGACATCTGAAGGCAGCCTTGTTCAGGGAAGTTTTTAATGTGTGACATTTTAATGTATTTTTAATCTTTGTGGGAAGCCTCCCAGAGTGGCTGTAGAACCCCAACCAGATGGGCGGGGTAGAAATAAATAAATAAATAAATAAATAAATTTTGTTTTGTTGTTGTTGTTGTTTTGTTATTATTATTATTGTTGTTGTTGTTTTGTTGTTGTTATTATTATTATTACAGTGGTGCCTCGCAAGACGAAATTAATCCGTTCCGCGAGTCTCTTCGTCCTTGCGGTTTTTTCGTCTTGCGAAGCACGGCTATTAGCGGCTTAGCGGCTATTAGCGGCTTTAAGAAAAAGGAAACAAACTCGCAAGAACTCGCAAGACGTTTCGTCTTGCGAAGCAAGCCCATAGGGAAATTCGTCTTGCGGAACGACTCAAAAAACGGAAAACCCTTTTGTCTAGCGAGTTTTTCGTCTTATTATTATTATTATTATTATTATTATTATTATTATTATTTTCATGGAAGTGAAGGCTGTCAACAGCTAGTAGCCATGACGGCTCTGTTCTGTCTCCCCAGTCAGAGGAGGTAATGCGTCTGAATACGAGTTTTGGGGGACCACAGAAGAGGAGAGAGCTCTTTTCCTTGCATGTTTCCCCACAGGCATCTGGCCACTGGGAGAACAGGATGCTGGACTAGATGGGCCTCTGCTTCTTAATCATTTCACCTGGAAGGAGAGCATGACTTCGACGTCCCCCGGTTCTTCATACCAGTAAGCAGTGCTTTTTTCCTTGAAAAATGTTTAGGGGTACTCTCATTTCCCTACTCTTATTGAAATACTGCCCCTTAATGAGGCCAGACTTGGATTCACAAAATGTTTAGGGGTATGCATACCTCTGCGTCCCCCGCAAAAAAGCACTGCCAGTGAGGATTCATAGAGTCATGGTCCTCCATGGGTCACAGATACAGGTCTCTCAACTCTGGAAGAGAATGCGGGATATGTAATGGAGACACCCAAGATATTAGGGCTATTCCCACACCCAGAGAGCTATGAGGAAGGGCCTCGTGTTAAGCCAGGCATCCCCAAACTTGGCCCTCCAGATGTTTTGGGACTACAACTCCCACCATTGTCAGGGATGATGGGAATTGTAGTTCCAAAACATCTGGAGGGCCGAGTTTGGGGATGCCTGCGTCAAGCAGATTTCCTCCAAACACTACACCGTGACCCTCATCTATTTGTGCATGTACAGTGGTACCTTGGGTTACATATGCTTCAGATTACGGACTCCACTAACCCAGAAATAGTACCTCGGGTTAAGAACTATGCTTCAGGATGAGAATAGAAATCGTGCTCCGGCGGCTCAGCGGCAGCGGGAGGCCCCATTAGCTAAAGTGGTGCTTCAGGTTAAGAACAGTTTCAGGTTAAGAATAGACCTCCGGAACGAAATAAGTACTTAACCTGAGGTTCCACTGTATTCTTTTCTATACAGTTTGCAAGGAACAAGCAGTAGTTAAGATCAACCGCAAATACGGGTTTAAATATGGGCCCTAGGCCTTTATCTAAAGAAGCATTGTAATAGAACACAGGCACTGTTCCAGTCTTAATGTTTTGATTGATTGGTTCTTACTGTATTTTGACACTCTGTACTTGCTTTTGGCTTGTGATGGGATCATTGTACATTGTGTGAACTGCTTCAATATTTTGCTGTACCAAGCGGCATATACATTAGTAAAATGAATGAATGAAATGAATACTTGGAGGAAGCCATGACTGTTTAAAGAGATACCTTTAAAAGCATGGCATTAATGTGGTCATTATTTTTTTGCACCGGCAAAGTTCACCTACTCCTAAGGATGCTGCTGCTTCATGGCAGGGACTTTGAGGTCCAGCTCCCCAGCAGTGCAGTCTTCAAACCCAATATTTCTGCTTCAAGGACACCTCCAAATAAGGAAACATTGAATGCCAAAGCTCCTTTACGGAAGATGATAAAGGAAGAAAGAAGGGAAACTGAAACTGAAACTAAACTTGGGAAAGGCCCTCCTTCTGCCTCCCACTTCCAGATACATTAACCCAGAGCTTTCTAAACTGTGTGTTGCCACACAATAGTGTGTTGGCTGAAGTATGTAGGTGTATTGTGTGAATTCTTCCCATGCTCCTCCTGGGGCTGGAAAGGGGTTAGTTTAAACTGCAGTTTGCTAGAAAAATTGAATTGCTGCGTCGAAAAATGATGCATGTCTAAAAGGCATTGTCACCAACATGAAAAGTTTGGAAACCTTTACAGTAACACCCTTTTCTTCTTAACATTGTGGGCATAAACTAAATTCTGTTGCCTGTTGCAACAACACTTTCCTCACCAAATTCCACTCCCACCACTAGGCACCTCCCAGATTCAGCTTCCATTCTCCTCTGAAGAAATGAATGAATCCCTTTAACTCACCCAGGAAAGCAGAAAGGAAAATGGGTCTACTATCCAGCCCCAATGCAGCACTTACTCTGGGGGTGGAAGATTAAAAGTTAGGATGTCAGCGCCCAGGAAGCAGAGCAGAAATGGGAACTCTATGTTAAGCTTCTCCTACAAGATCCCATGACGTTTTCTCTTGAGCTCTAGACAGGTGCTGTTGAATTTATGACTTGCCTCTTGCATCCCAGACTTCTTCTCCCCCAGCTGTGCACATGCTCAGGTAAATGAGAACAGCTGCTGATTGTTTCTGAGGGATTTGCAAAGGCTGCTGGGAAATGAAGTTCACAGGGAGGAAAACTGAGCCAAGACCAGCAACAAGGCAGATGAGAATCAAAGATTCACTCTTTCCCCTTGATTTCTAGCCTTCCTGGTCTCTTTTAAAATTGAAATCCAAAATTTATTTTCATATATTTTCCACATAGGAACATTAAAAATAAGAAGGCATGGCTTGGGGAAGACAGATTGGCCCACAGGCCACAGATTCTACAGCCATGTGCAATGAGAAAACCTGTTTAATAAACGTTGTTACAGTATGTTTAAAACTGCAACCTTGACAGGGGCCCAGAGTAATAAAAAGAGAAGCAAAAGGGGTAAAAAGCTACAAAATTTATTCGTGAATCCAGAAAACACATTAAAATACTTATAGAAGCAAGTGCCAAGTAAAACATGCATTTAAATAGAAGTACCAGTGATTGGAGTAATACACTGAAGTAGAAGAATGGAGAAACAGAAGCATTTGCAACATTTCTCTGCCTCTCCATTGCTGTCTTGTGACGATTCAACTGATGTGAAATGAGTGCGCTATCATAAAAGATTTCCCCACACTTGTGGGCTATTTGATGGGAATTGTCTTGTGCTGATTAATTGGAGATTTAAAAAAGGGTCTTGCTTCAGCCTGAGAAGCTCTGTGATGTCTCCTATTTATGCTTCAGTTGGTGTAACCCAAGGCTTCCGCTGCACCCAAATGTTCTGGAACAAATGGAACATACAAAACATTTCTTTTCAGGGCGGGTCACATTATGTTCAACAAGACTTGGTTCAGAAGCATGGCTCAGGCCAAAATCTGGCTCCTCTCCTCTATGAATTCTCTGATGTGCCATAAGGGAGGTGCTGCACCTGAAGCTCTCTCCGCATTCTGAGCATATGTGAGGTCCTTCTTCAATGTGCATCCTGTTATGTTTAATGAGATCAAACGGAGAAGTAAAGTCCTTGTTGCATTTTGAGCATTTGTATGTTTTCTCCACTTCATGGGTTCTCCGGTGTGTGTTGAGATGTGTGGTATGATCGAAGCTATGCCCACATTTTGAGCATTTTTAAGGCTTCTTTTTCGTGTGGATTCTTTCATGCAGCCTAAGTTTGGATCGGGTAATGTAACTCTTGCCACATTCTGAGCATTTGTATGGCCTCTCCCCTGAGTGGGTTCTCTGGTGTACTTTCAAGTTGGACTTATGACTGAAGCTCTGCCCGCACTCTGAGCATTTGTATGGCCTCTCTCCTGTGTGGGTTCTCTGGTGTACGTTCAGAGTGCTCTTTTGATTGAAGATCTTCCCACATTTTTCACATTGATAAGGCTTCTCTTTCGTGTGGATTCTTTGATGCACTGTAAGATTGGGTTGAGTAAGGTAACTCTTGCCACATTCTGAGCATTTGTGTGGCCTCTCCCCTGTGTGGGTTCTCTGGTGTACGTTCAAGTTGGACTTATGACTGAAGCTCTGCCCGCATTCTGAGCATTTATAAGGCTTCTCTTTAGTGTGGCTAACTTGGTGCGAGGAAAGGTTTGACTTACGACTGAAGCTTCTTCCACATTCCTCACATTTATAGGGCTTCTCTCCCGTGTGACTTCTTTCATGCAGTACAAGGGACGTCTTGTGCTTATAGCTTTTCCCACACTGCTTACATATATAGGGGGCCTCTCCTGTGTGAACTCTTTGGTGTTGATAAAGGTTCGACTTGTGTTTGAAGCTTTTCCCACATTGGCTACATTGATAGGGTCTCTCTTCCACCTGAGTTCCCTGTATAACATTCTCGTTCATCTCTTTGTGCTCAGGCTCCGTTGACAACATTGCACAACGCTCTCCTTCATTCTCAGTTACCTGCATATCATCTGCTGAAATCAAGGGGAGAAAGTCTCATTGGAACCTCAAAGGAGAAGGAAAGCTTCCGTTGGCTCTCTACTAAATGTGTCATTTCATTCATTAAAATTGTTTGTCTCCCATAGTGCAACTTATTATTTTCCCCCTATGTCTGTTAGAATATGCTGCTGAAAGACACATTGCCCAGCAGATCTTTCCTTTCCTCTAAAGCAGGAGGTTAAGAGATTGAAGGGAATATTAATGGCTTAAGAATTACCGGTAGCTTACTGGAATTAGGTAAAGGGACCCCTGACCATTAGGTCCAGTCGTAAGCAACTCTGGGGTTGCGGCGCTCATCTCGCTTTATTGGCCAAGGGAGCCAACGTACAGCTTCTGGGTCATGTGGCCAGCATGACTTAAGCTGCTTCTGGCGAACCAGAGCAGTGCACGGAAACACCGTTTACCTTCCCGCCAGAGCGGTACCTATTTATCTACTTGCACTTTGACGTGCTTTGGAACCTCTAGGTTGGCAGGAGAAGGGTTAACCTTCTGTGACTCATGCTTGAGGGGGGAAGGGCTTACAAGCGAAGCAAGCCAGGACGTTACATCAACAGAGTGCTTTCGATTTCAGATCGGTCGCTGCACTGAGAGAGAAAGGAGTCAGAGAAAATGCAGCTAGACACTGATGGTTTTCTTGGATTGTAAATATGCTGTTTTGCGACAATAAAGAGCTTCTAGCATAGAAGCAACGTCTGGACTGATTTACTGACCTTACTTGCACAGACGCTGTGCTTTCTGCTTAATTGCTTTCTCCCGAACCTACGCTGGAAAAACAGAAGCTGCAGACGCTATCAGCAGAGGTTCGCAGGGAAGCGTGGCTGGGCAATAAAGCAATAAATCTTTGAATAGGTTATGGGTCAATGCCAAGAGTGTGTGAAAGGGCTTGAAAGGCTTTCAAAGACTGAACGTCAGCTTGATCAACTGCCAAGGCTTCAAAGGGCAGATCGGAGGAGGCTGACGGAGAGGGAGCTTGGAGCCACATCGTCCGGAGCCCTCTGTTTGGCTGCGGAGTGAGTATTATTAGCTACTCTTGCAAAAGGCCAACAGAAGGGAAGGGAGGCAATGGCTCAGCCCCAAGGACAAGACTTTGAGAGCTTCAATATCCCCTTTGAAAGACTCAATGGGAGTAATTGGGAAGATGGGCAGAAAAGAATGTACTTTTGGCTGGGAGGGAAGCAGCTTTGGGAGTGCACGCAGCAGGACCCCTTTGTGGCTGCCGCTGGGGCAGGGGCTGCTGATCAAGAGCGTGCGGCTGCAGCACCCAAGAAAGACCAGAAGGCCATGTCGTACGTTGTCATGGCACTTGAGGCTAATCAGTTGCCTCATATTGACGGTTTGTGGACTTGTCAACAGATTTGGACTGCGTTGCAAAGAATACACCAATGCACAACACCAGGGACTAAGGTGCATGTGTTGCGTGCCTTGTTTGAGAAAAGGCTGGCCCCAGGGGAACCGATACGTGAGCACATTGCACAGGTGCTGTCTATCTTCAGCAAGCTGTGTTTGCTCAACGTCCCTTTTCCTGAGGAGTTGAAGGCTTATGCCTTGCTGAGCTCTTTGGATAAGAGCTATGAGATTGGTTCTAACGATGGAGACTATGCCGATTCAGGATTTGACTTTGGATTATATCTCTGGGCGCTTGATTGATGAAGAGATAAGGAGAAAAGGGACTGCTAGAGAGCCGACAGGCTGTACCCCCAGGAGGAGTGGGGGGGGCAGCAGGCCACAGTGAGCATACTGTGAAAGCTTTTGCCTTTAGCAAGCGATGTTTTTGCTGTGGCAGTCACACACATCTTATCCGTAACTCTCCAATGGAAGCACAGGAGCCCAAAGACAGTCAGAGAGGAATGCAGCAGCTGCCCGGAAAGCAGATAAGCTCCGCTTCTCAGTAGCAGAGGCGTGGGAAAGCTTCCAAAGGCACCGGACGTGGAGACAACAAAGACAAGGCATCATATTTCCACCTGGCAGCATCAATGGCAAACGTGAAGGACGCCTGCGCAGGCCCCTGTCGGGGGGGGCAGTGAGAGGGGGAGTGTTGCCATGGCGATCCAGGAATGTCAACAACCAGACACTCTAACTGTCATCATCGACTCAGGAGTGACAAACACTCTCATGTCACCTGCTGGTCTTTTAAGGAACTGCAGGACAGTAAAAACTGATAAATACGTCACGCTTGCGGATGGACGTAAAAGACGGCTGACGCAGTCAGGACTGTTTTACTGTTCCTTTCTTAAACATGAGGTCAAAGCTTATGCGGTGCCCGGCTTAGCCAATTGTTTGTTAAGTGTCCATGATATACTTGCTGATGGTTTTTGTGTGTCTTTTGCAGGTACCCAATGTGAGTTTTCCAAGAATGGAAAGCACTTCTACACAGTGCAGTCCAAAGGCAATTTATTTGTTGTAGAGTTGCCTGTTTCTACAGAAGGGGATGACACCGAAGATGCAAAGGGGCAATGTGTGAATGTAGCGCCCCACGATGGTTGTCCACATATCTGGCACAGACGTTTTGCACATCTGAATTGGGGGTTTGTCCAGAAGGCACCTGAGCTAACACAGGGGTGCAAATTTAAGGCTTGTGACAAATTCTTAGATTGTAATGCTTGTAAGCAAGCCAAGGTTGTGACATGCTCCTATCCAAAGTCAGAGAGACAGACCACTCAACCCTTTGAGTTAATTCATGCAGATTTGTGTGGCCCCATGTCAGTTGAGTCACTGGGGGGATCAAAGTACTCTCTGCTTCTGGTTGATGATTTCTCAAGGTCTGCTTGGACCTTTGCTCTACACTCTAAAGGGGAGGTGGCTAAACTGATCAGGGATTGGATCACCACAGTTGAGGTAACCTTCTCCACCAGAGTGCGTGGCTTTCAAAGTGACAGAGGTGCTGAGCTCACCGGTTCTGCTTTACAGGATTTCTTTAGGGAGAAGGGGATTAGCCACCGATTGACTGCTCCTTACTCTCTGCAGCAGAATGGGATCGTGGAGCGAAGGAACAGGACGATACAGGAAGCGGTGGCGTCTGTTCTGTGGGATGCAGGGCTACCCCAGAGGTTCTGGTCTGAAGCCTGGTGCTTTGTGGTTCATACGCAGAACAGAGTGTACAACTCAAGTGTAGGAAATACACCTTATTTCTTGCTGCATGGAAAGAAACCTAAGGTGCACTACCTTCGTGTGTTTGGTTGTGAGGCCTGGGTTCTTATTCCAAAGGCTCTACGCAAGAAAGGTGAGCCAAGATCCAAAAGGATGATCTTTGTGGGGTATGAGCCTGGCTCCAAGGCCTGGCGGTTTGCGTACCCAAGTGGAAACCAGTCAAGGTTGGTGATTAGCAATAGTGCTGAGTTCTGTGAACAAGCTGGTTGGAAACGTTTGCACGCTAATCTAGACGTGATTCCACAGCCGTTCTATGACTCAGACATTGAGGAGGAAGAGGAACTTGTTGCTGGGGACCGTGGTCCAAGGCAGGGACAGCTCAGGATCCCTCAGAGGGGGGAACCTAGAACACCTCCTCAGGTAAGTGTCAAGTCTGAGCCAAAGAGTGAGCCTTCCTCACCTGCTGGAGCAGTTGTAAGGCCCAAGAGGCGCAGCAGGTCAGAGGGGGAAGACACTGAGGTTGAGGATGATTTAGCTGGACCCAGTGAGTCAGCAGGGACACAGGGTTCACACTGAGGAGATCAGCGAGGACAAGGAGGCCTCCTGATCGGTATGACGCTTCAGGCGTCTGGGTAGGTGCAGCCAGATTTGAACCTGAATCCTTCAAGGATATTCAGAGTTTACCTCAGGAAGAAGCAGGTAAGTGACACAGGGCAATGGACAAAGAGATGAAGTCCATGAAAGACCTAGGTGTGTTCTTACTCACAGAGTTGCCACCGGGCAAACAGGCTGTGAGTTGCAGGTGGGTTTACTGCATGAAACCCACTGACACTGGAGAGCCACAGTGTAAAGCCAGATTAGTTGCTCGAGGATTCACTCAGAGAAAGGGAATACACTTCACTGAGGTGTATTCGCCAACCTCACGAGCAGAGACTCTGAGAACGCTTTTAGCTTTTGCTGCACAGAGAGGTTGGAAGGTAAACCACTTTGATGTGGAGGTTGCCTACCTGAACTCAGATCTCCAGGAGGAGCTGTACATGCTTCCTCCTTAGGTTTTTGAGATCTTGAGACAAGGTGTTGTGTGGAGATTGCACAAATCCATCTATGGATTACATCAATCAGCCAGAAACTGGAACATGTGCCTGAATGAAGCCTTAGAAGAGCTAGGTTTCAAAAGAAGTGTTGCAGATAGTTGCCTCTATTTGAAAGGATCAGGTGCAACTCATGAATTTGTTCAGATTTTTGTCGATGATTTGCTATTCTTTTCAGAGACAGATAAACAGGCAGAAAGGTTTGCTAGGGAGCTAGGTAAACGGTTCAAGCTTAAACAGTTTGGTGCTGTCAAAACCTATCTAGGCATAGATATTGTCAGAGCACAGGATGGAAGCTTCTTGCTCAGCCAGAGAGGCAAAATTGAGCAACTGCTTTAGAAATTCAGGATGAGCGACTGTGCAGGAGTGAGAGGTCCTATGGAGACTAGTTTTGTAAAGGATAGTCAGCAAGTAGAACACACTGTGTTTGAAAACGCTGAAGTGTTTCAGTCAGCCCTAGGGAGTTTGCTGTACTTGTCCCAGTGGAGCAGACCAGATATAGCGTTTGCTGTCAATCTGCTCAGCAGGGAAGCTTCAAACCCTAGTGTGCAAGCCTGGAATGGCATCAAGAGAGTTCTGAGGTATTTGCAGGAAACCAAAGACTTTTGTATTAGGTTGCCAGCACAAGGTGAAGTCAAATTGACTTGTTTTGTGGACTTGGACTGGGCTAATACTGAGGACCGCAAGACCGGAAGTAAGCCAGGATGTTACGTCAACAGAGTGCTTTCGATTTCAGATCGGTCGCTGCACTGA